GGTAACAAATTAAATCAGACGCATATCTGAAACTCTTATGCTGGAAAGGATATGCATGTTTTCAGATGTACAAGTATGTGGGCTCCCAAGGCAGCAGGCAAGTTTGAAACTAAGAGGAGGTTGTGTTTTCTAGTTTGCATTTCCCTAAGTAGTAACAAATTAGTTGCCAAGTATCTCTTTGGGCTGTGTGATAGAGTGCCTCCAAGACAGGGAAAATAAATTCAACTTTTAATTTATAATAACCCCCTGCCTAAGGGTGAGACAGATTAGAATTAAAGAGATAAATATAATCGGAAGTAAGAAATTTCATGGACTGGCTCCCTGACATATTTCCTTTGCAGTGAACGCCACGAAGTCAAAACATGCAAGGATATTCCTCTCTGATTTTTCCCAAAATGTTGAACTATGTTCAACAGAGGTCCCCTTAATCTTTCTTAATCCTTGCTGATTCAAATACTGTTTTGGTTTCATATTTTAAACTTATGCATAGTAATTGTTGGCACCTTTTACCCATCACTGAAATGGCTATGCACTCCTAATGATATAGTGATATTACAACATTAAAATCACATTGTAAACATTAAGCTATGGTTTAATTTAAAGTAGCTAAAGATTGATAAAGAGATAAATATAATCGGAAGTAAGAAATTTCATGGACTGGCTCCCTGACATATTTCCTTTGCAGTGAACGCCACGAAGTCAAAACATGCAAGGATATTCCTCTCTGATTTTTCCCAAAATGTTGAACTATGTTCAACAGAGGTCCCCTTAATCTTTCTTAATCCTTGCTGATTCAAATACTGTTTTGGTTTCATATTTTAAACTTATGCATAGTAATTGTTGGCACCTTTTACCCATCACTGAAATGGCTATGCACTCCTAATGATATAGTGATATTACAACATTAAAATCACATTGTAAACATTAAGCTATGGTTTAATTTAAAGTAGCTAAAGATTGTTAAAATACAATAATTTCAGATTAGATAATCTGATATTTTACCTAAATATTATTTTCCTATATAGATATAACTTCTGCAATGTTATTTCCTTTGAAAGTATATTTTGGCACAAACAATTGCTTGCCCAATATCTGTAAGGCAAAAAAAAGAGAGTGTACTTTCAGACGTTTGCCAATATGAATATGCAGATTTCATACATTTTTATGTCTAAATGAATCTGAATTACATAAAATTCTAAAATCAGAGCTAGTCGAGTTGTTGATCCAATCACAAATTTCACATCCACAGTTGCAGGGCAAAGGGAAAGATTATAATGTTGGAGATTAAAATATTATTGAAGATTTTAAATAAAAAGATTTATACATATGTACATTATATATAATGTTTTATATATATAAATATTTTATATATTCTTATGTTAGCCCTTAAATTGTGAATGTAGAGCTTTCCTGTGCACTTCGCTGATTCACCTGTATTTCCTCTTATGGCAATTACTGAGTCAATTTTCGGGAACACACTGGATCTGCATTTGAGTTTTCCTGAAGAAAACTGAATTTTATCACACATGCACATACAAATAAAGATCTATGTGTGTGTGTGTGTGTGTGTGTCTGTGTGGTTTATAGTGCAGCTGAAATGCAAGTTCTATAGTCATTTGAGTGACTTACTATCTTTTGCAAAAAAGATCATATAAAGTAAGATGTAAAATTGAACTAATTAAGATGACGGCACTTAGATCTCTTCCTTTGGGAGCTTGTGTTATAGTCAGATGTGGCTATAGGATTATAGCAAATGTAGAAAATGATTCTTAATTCTAAACAATTATTTAAATTTATCTGCTTGTCACATGATTCTTCAGGGAATCATACATTTTAAAAATTAGACACCGTAAACTTTCCCTATAGGCAGAACTACCCAGAGTTCCAGCTGTTGGACTTCAGAATTGTTTTCTCTTTGCAGTATAAACAAGTTTATCTCTCAATTTCTTATCTGCATACCATTTGGATTATGCTGTCTTTCTTGGCAAAGGGTGCATTCTGTGAAAGGATAATTATGTTATATTGAGGAAAAAATGAAAATGAGAGTAAATAATTTCTTTGTAATCCCAGATTTGGTCCAGAAGAAAAAAATGAATCTTGAGTCAATTATTTTTGCTTTGATTTCTTCTGTCCAGAGTCTCTGAATTTGTTTTCTGATACAAATATTAATCTGTGCAAATAGTGGCTGTCTTTATAATTTTCTTCTTTTTCATTTTTATAGTTTGTAATTCAACATATCTAGATCTAGGATCTTAAGAACCAGAAAGCAGTTTGTCTACCTTTATGGCTCTAGGGCTTGAGAGACTATTCCACACTATTATTTCTTATGATACACACATATTTTATTGAGGGGATTTAAAAAATGTGTAAGGAAGGTACACATGGTAGAAGTCTTCTCAGTCCCACTCCCCTTCTCTTAAACCCCCACTCCCTCCCACCTTGCTTCCCTCCTGCCCTCACTCACTTCACTTAGCTTTTTTTCTTTTCTTCCATTTTTTCCTATTTTGCTTATTTCTATCTAATAATTTTTTATCATTCATTATATACTACTTATGTCTCTTTTATGTACCTAACTATTCATCCATTTATTTACGTTACTTCAGAAAAAATTCCACTCTCTTGTAAATTCTTTCTTGACCCTTGTCAGCGCCAGTTCACTTTATTTTCATAGTTACTGTTGCTTGTACAAAAGCATACATTCGATTTTCTTCACTGTGAACTGTTGCCACCAAAATTACAGTCTAACTACAAGGTGAACAGCTTATAATGTATCACAATCAATACTCAACATATGCTCCCTAGGATGTGACATAAAGGAGTCCAGTAAAAAGCTGCAGCTTTTCAGCAGTGAAATGCAAACAATCACCTTATGTTGATGGTTTTAGATTCAAGGTCGATTTATACTTTCATACATCTGCATTATTCTGGCTCTTTCAGTCTCTTAAATTCATATTGAATTGATGCTGTGCTAAGTTATCCAAATTGCTGAAACTGAAGGCCAGTCAATATTGGAATATAAAACTATTTTAGGCTGTTTCAATGACAGTGTATGGGTGATAAATGAATTTTTTTTAATCGCAGCTCTAGAAGATAAAAAAGTACTAAATGAAATAGATAGCAAAATTTCCTACTGTATTTTTGAAGGATAAAATTGGTTGAATGGAATGACACTTTTTTCCTAATACTGACACAGATACGGAATATTTATAATTTACAATATTTATTATATCTGTTAAGAATAGGCAAATTAAACAGATAACTGATATTAAACAACATTTCTGATAGCCTTTTGTTTTTAAATTTCTGTTCTACTTTAATCCATACAGGAAGGCTTCCTAGAAAATTTTACATGCTCAGATTCCTCTGCTACTGTTTGTGTCCATCTGTCCAATAACTTTTTAAGTCAGAGATAGAATCTGTGGGTGGATGGTTCCGTTTGAAACTACATTAAAGCATTTTTGCCTATATTACATAATAAGTTTAAAATATTTAATTCACTCATAGGTAAATATATTTTTAAAAACATGAAAAAAATTAAAATAGAGACCAGCTACCTAAGTACTTCTTAAACATTTCACAAGTGTGAATGATACATGCCATAAAATACCACAGTATTTTGTTCTGTCAAGATACAATTTTGATTCCTTTCTAAAAGTTTTACTCTCATAAGAAATTATGTTACCCCAACACCTTTTGAGATCAATTAACCTGTGGTTTATTTTTTTTCTTTTTGGATAAGGAATTATTTATGTGTTTTAAATATGAACTCAGATTTTACATATGGCTTTGAAAAGTCACTATAAATTCATCAATGTTATGGAATTTGCTGCTTTCAAATATTTTTCATGTGGGCTATTTCCTTGCACAGGATACTGCAAATTGTAGGAATCCTCTCACATCAATTAAATGGCAATCCCAATGGCTCCAAAATGTGTAGGGAATTCTATTCCCATTGCACAGAGGTAAATTGTAAATATCCTCTCCTGAAAAAAGAGACTCTGATTTTAAAAGGATTATTAAACATAAGGGGAACAGCTATTTGTGGATGAAAGGGACAACTGGGAAGATGTAGTTCAAATTAATAGTTTAAAATATTGGGGTCATGGATGTATACTGCTATTGTCATAATGAAGGAATTTGCTTTCCTGTTTTCTTGTTCAGCATCTTGGAAATAGGGATCATTAAAAAATGCTTTATTTAGATTCTCTATCTGCCTATTGGCAGAAAAGAGAAGGAAAATTCTCACAGAAAGCATTATCATTTAAAATAGGAAATCATGACTTGTCATTCACTCTGAACTCTGTTGACTAAATCCATTTTCACCTACTTACAACACAAATAAAAAGCTGAAGTGAAGAAAACTGATTACATGATCCATACCCATATCTAATAAAATAAGAATGTGCACTTTTTGACAAGCTTATTCATAACTCATCGTGATAGAAAATTCTATTTGCTACTCTCGGAGGGAAAAGTAGGCTTTTAGAGGAAATCTTTTATTTCATGACTGTCACCAAAATAACAATTACAAGCAAAACAGGGTTAAAATGTAAAAAAAAAAAAAAAGGCATCTTAGGACTTGTGGAATTTTGCCATCCAGTTTTTGTCCCGTTACTTGATTTGAAGAATTAATCCTGGTAATCCTTTTGAAGTTCACTGTCGTCAGGATGAGTTGTACAGAACAAAGCCTAACTGATATCCCCAGGCGACTAGTTTACAGTGAGGTTCTATTCTACTGAGAACGATTCTCCAATGGCCACCTTTTACTTCTTCCCAGGCTATAGCAATTCGTTAATATCTGGAGAATAGACTTAAATAAAACCATTGTCTCAAGCAGCAGGTTTATGCAACCGTCCTGAAATGTTTTAATTATTGTTTTCTTTTCCTTTTTAATTAAGAGAACAGAGGTCAAGTAAGCCCACTGAGAGCTGATCGCAGCCTCAGTGGAAATGTAAAGGCAACCCTAATGACTGGACTTGCTGTTTTCTCTTCTATTGCAGAACCAGAAGAGTGTGTTAATTGCACAGATGAATGCCGAGTGCTTGGTCATTCTGACAGGTGTTGGATGCCACAGTTCCCTGCAGCCAATCAGGCTGAAAATGCAGATTACCGCACAAATCTCTTTGTACCCACAGTTGAAGCTAATGTTGAGACTGAGACTTACGAAACTGTGAATCCCACTGGGAAAAAGACTTTTTGTACATTTGGGAAAGACAAGCGAGAGCACACTATTCTCATTGCCAATGTTAAACCTTATTTGAAAGCCAAACGTGCCCTGAGCCCTCTCCTCCAAGAGGTCCCGTCAGCATCAAGCAGCCCAACCAAGGCATGCATCGAGCCTTGCACCTCAACAAAAGGCTCTCTGGATGGTTGTGAAGCAAAACCAGGCGCCCTGGCTGAAGCAAGCAGCCAGTACTTGCCCACTGACAGTCAGTATCTGTCACCCAGTAAGCAGCCCAGAGACCCTCCGTTCACGGCATCCGAGCAGATGGCAAGGGTCTTCGCAGATGTGCATTCGAGAGCCAGCCGGGATTCCAGTGAGATGGGCGCTGTTCTCGAGCAGCTTGACCACCCTGCCAGGGATCTCGCCAGAGAGTCAGTGGATGCCGAGGAAGTCGTGCGAGAAATTGATAAGCTTTTGCAAGACTGCCGGGGAAATGACCCTGTGGCTGTTAGAAAGTGAAAGGAAAAAAAAAAAAGCATTGGCATTTTCTTGTCTCTTCTGTTGATTTAAAATGATCCCTCCTGGTGACAACCCATTTTCCAGGGATGACGAAAGACCAATGCTGCTTTAAGGCTTTTAGTGAACATCTGAAGTGCCCACAAGTATGTCCTTTTCACTGCTGTTTCTTTTTCAGAGATAACAATGGTTTTGTTTTGACCAAACTTATACAGAACAGAATTAATGATGCTCAAAGAGAAGAAAAAGGACAGAAGAGATGAGAACAAATGAGGAGGCGAGTTACCTTTTGACAATCTGTTAGGAAGGTATGCAGTGTGAGGATTTCTGATCACGCTAAGACTGTCGTCCTCCGTGATTTATGCTGACTTAACTGTTTACCTATAAACCCCAGACAAAGCAGGGTCATAATTTGTGATCTGTGGTGGATCCGTCTAGCTGTCATCACAGGCTTCTACTTAAAGTCCCGACAAGACCTTGCAGTAGTCCAAGCTACACCAAACATTAACACATATTTGTGGTAAACATTTCTGTATAAAGTTACCTGCCACACATATAAACACCAAGAACATTCCATATCATTAGTCGAAAAAAACAAACTTGGTCATTTGTAAGACACTTCATGTCGTATTAAAGTTAAATGTAAAAAAGATATAGTCCATTTTGTCCTGTACACACACACACACACACACAAATTCACTTCATTAAAGGAGAAAAAACTTAAAGGTTTAAAATGCCTCTTTAGCATTTTAGTGTCCAACAAACATAAACAACGATGGCTCTGTTTTTAAATTTGACCTAGAAAAGTTCTGAAAAATAGTTACCATTGAGTGATAATATTCAGAGAAAATTAACATGATTAATACGTTCTATTCATTTGTGGACACTAAAATAGCTCAGGAAAGTAAAAATGTCTTAGACATACACAAATCACATGACCATTTAAATGTGCAAGTGTAAGAAGATTCAATGTGTTTACATCAAATGACATATTTTTATTGATTTATTGAAGATTCAGTGCATATGAGCCAAATTGTTGAGTGTATAAGAGCTATATTGTGTATTTTATTAAATTAATATATAGTTGTGTTGCAAAAATATTTGGGCTTATATTGTAAATGGCAAGTGTTGCCTCAGTAGCTGTCGAACTCTATGAGTTTTGTTTTTTCCTGCTTCCTTTTCCCCATGGAGCGTGGGAAGCAGTGCCTCAGAGCAAAAGTCTCTCGTTTAATGTATAGTCTACCAAGTACTGCAGTACATAATCTGTTCAAAATGTGTTTGAGTGAGCTGATGGCGCTAACTGGAAGGTCGAGAAGTACATCGGTCCGTCATGGTTATGTGCAGGTCCTTGTAGAAGCTTTCATTCAAGTCACGTTAAATCACAAGAATTGAATTTGTACCAATACCTGAAACTTCCTGTCTTAACATAACATACAGCTTCTGCCTATGTAGACTCCATACTGTTGATTGGTTCTAGAAAGTATCTGAAGTGGTTCCAAGTGTGTGTTCCCATTATATTTCAAAACCATGAAAAATGCATTAATGCATGTGTGATACCAGCATTGGTTACTTGCATTGTGTAGTGTTTTTCAATAAGTCTTTAACAAAATGTCTTTCCTCTTTCTCAGCACTCTTCTGCCTCTTTCTGTTGGTGTCCTTTGAGAACAATACACCTTCTATTCTTTTATTTGTTTGCAACTTTTCTGGTGACATTTAGCAAGTTTCAAACTTCCTTATGAGGTGAGGCAACCTCAAATTTCAGGAATTGGGAAAATAAAATTAGCACTTGAAGAAGTAGCAGCAGATGGGAAAATGCCTTGATTGACATTTTCCTTCAGCTTTAAAATTTTTTTTGGCATTTTGCAGCTTCATGACAAACAGTTTCCAGCCCATACCTTAGGAAATGTGGCGCTGAGTTAAATAAAGGCTGTTTATGCACTGGAGCAGAAAAATGCATTATTTGCAAACTGGTGGGGAATTCTGTGCCTTCTTTTCTGGCCACCAAGCCAGTGCAGAAACAGCATAAATGTCATCAAATCCTTGTATCAAAAACAAAAACAAAAGCAAAAACAAAGATGGAACTGAATTAAGTCTTATGATTTGAAACCTCAAAAAATTCAGCTGAAATTATTTCTGTCAAATGCCGTCAGGATGTTAGATTATACCTCGTTTGCAAAACTGCTTTGAAAGGGAAGAGTGGACAACTCCCACCAGCCTTATTCTCTTGAGAACTGTATGTGGTTCCTAGTAACAGCCTTTCCAAAGCTCTACTCTTGGTTTTTACTATTCATAAATGTTTAAATTAGAGAAGAAGGGATCTTGTACATGTGAAACCGAATTGACTCTCTATATTTTGGACAATTTATGTATCTGAAATGTGTTGTCTCTGTTATATGATGTTATTTTTTGCCAGGAGACTACAGGTTGATTTAGCTTGATAAATGAAATTTGATGGAAAACTGATTTCCATTTAGTCTTACCAAGTGTTGCCTCTCTCTTACTAGACAGATAGCCACCACCTAGTAAAATCTAAGGCAGTATGTAAATGAAATCAACAAAGAGAGTAGGATTATTTTTAAAACATTCTTAACACAGAGTAACCAGTTGTTCAATTTATTATATGTGTCTGAAGACATTAAAACACTATAAGATTTTAAGAATTGGTGTGCCAATGTGTGAGGGATTTACCTTTAGGCTCTCTGTCACCAGTGATTTACTGGTGTTAGCTGTTTAACACATTGTCTGTATTTAGTAGTGATTATTTATTTACAAGTTGGTTGTAATTCAGCAGTCAGGACTCTAAGCTTTTATAGTTGAGTTGAGCGAATCTAGCTTTTATTCATGTGGCTGGCATTGCCTTTATCATAGAACTTTGGTGCTTGGCTTCCAAGGAAGTTCATGAAATGCCAAAATCACCCCTTTGGGGAGCAACTTGCTTCAAGGGGTAATTAATGATCAAACAGAAATATTTCATGGGGTTAGAGCATACTTCAGAATGTGAAAATTCTGTCTTAATTCACATCCTCCAAATGATAACCCCTCAAAAAAAATCCCACACATTTAAAACAAACAATTTGATAATACATTGTCTTTCAGGTTCTTAAATAACTGAAGTCAAGCACAGAAAAAGAATTTATATAGGAATTTTTGTAAGAAAGTCAAAGTTCTAAAAATTGTTTCATGGTGAACTAAAAATATCAGTACAAAGCAATCTTCATTAAATGTTAATGTTGAAAGGTCTTTACATCAAAGTGAAAAGTAGTGAGAGTCAGTGTTAGTTGTACCTACACCAAAGTAAACATTAACGAGCATATCATGCAATTTCAAAGAATGCTTTCATTTTATGTGTTAACCTGAAATATACAGATCCTTACTGTATACAAAGATTGGCTCACTACTCCATAAGTTAACTGAATTCCTAGTTGGGAAATTGACTTGTTTTGTTTTCATAAATTAGCTGTGATCTGTAAAACATGACTTCCCTTTAAAGGCTCTAGATACTACTCAATTAAAAAAATGACACCATTAAAAAAAAGTCATGTAGTATGTCATGTAGAGCAGTATGCTTTATTAGAATTAGGTTAAAAGCTGTTTGTTGCCTAACGGAGTAGAAGTTGCTGAGGTCAACCAGTAGACTGAGGTCTGGCATTATATATGCCCACTCATTATTGTCTAATTATATTCTTTTGACAACAGACAGCATTTATCACAGCATTAATTCAAATGAGAGTTTTGGCTATCAAGATGTGTTGATTCCAAACATAATCGAATGACACCTGATTAAAGTCTGACTTTCCTGGCCCCAGTGTTTTGCAGGTCGGCTATTCCCATTTATCAGCCCCATCACTCCATGAGGTTCTTAGCTGCACCAAGTGATTGGTGAACAAGGACAACTACAAAAGCAGCATACATTGTATGGATTTATCTCTATGCTATTGTTTAATGGCTGTGTTTAATGTGACCTATCTGGAACATGAGGACTCCGAATAAAAAGTTATTACTAATAGTGACGTTTCCTTCCCTTGAATTCATTAACAGAAGTGATGGGTTATACAGTAGGTACCACAGGGACCGTGATCATGATTATTTTGGAGAGCAGTATGACATCTGTGTTTGCTAGTAAAACAATTTTTTTTTCAAGTATTTAACAGTCTTGCAATTCGATCTCAGGAGTTAACAGTCTTGCTGATAGCTTTGATAGTTTGCTAGTCAAATAATTACCATGGAGTCATAGCCTAAGGATAATGGTGGCTTTTAATATTTAGAATTGATTTGAAGATTATTAAGTAACAAGATCCTAAAGGGCTTCAGAAAAGTCATCTTTATAAGTCCTCTCATAATCTTCCATGACTAATGAGAACATATATTTACAAATGGCATTTTAAAGTAAATACATTTTTATCCTGGCTTCTTGAAATAATAAGCCTCTTTTTCTACTCATTCAATACATACCTACTGAATGCCTGCTGTGGGATTGCCCTGGGCTGCCATGCCCCAGGAGGAGACAGTAAACACTGAGTGGGGCTTCGGTAACCGTCTGTCGAGAGAAACAAAAAGGTAAGTGCCAATACACCTTCCTCTTTGTCAACTGGATTTGGTTGTTTGCATTTTTCCTCAGTTACTGCACATACCCCATGTTTCTGCTAACTCACTACCAGCCAGTGGCATCCCCTAAATTACACACTAACATAATATTCTGCCCATTTGGATTTTTCTTTTATTTTAACTTTCTTCTGACAGCATAGCACATGTCAAGAAGAGTGTATTGCTTTTCCATATTTCAGAAGATCTTTATGGTTTAGGCTAATTAGGATAGACTAACTGACGTAGCTTTGCATTGTTTTTCTCATTTATTTGCTGACTTCTCTTGTTTCTTGTTCATCAAACACCACTTAGGTGTCAGGTGCTATACAAGGACCCTCTCGTACAAAGAACTAAGCCAATTACATTTTGCCCTGAGTAAACACTAACAAAGGAAGTAACTTTATGTTGCCTTGACACCATTACCTTTTCATAAAGAAAATGATTTCACTTTTGCAATAGGAAAAAAAAAAGCATGTTTACCATTCCATTCACTGCTTTCAAGTGTAAGAGTACAGCAAGCTGTCAATTAACTCAGCAGCCACTATCTGACCAGAGTTGAGGCAGCACTGATTCATTCAAAAGAAGAACCTACCTGGCTAGGCTGCAGTTAGGAGGAAGTCATGAATGGAACACATTATACAGGTTCACTACATGTCAATGAACAATTAGGACCCTTCACATGATGTGTTTTAAGTAGATAAACCAACAAGATACAATTATTTGACCATAGTAAATTCTTCATAGGATAGGAATTTTTAAAGGTCACTGCAGCACCACTATGGCACACACAAATAGATTAGCAAGTTAATGGACCATCTTCAAACTCTTCAGGACATGCTTCTGGAGCTGGTTGCACAAGGTGCACCAAGGAACTACATCATTTCCTGTTCATTTTAGATGCTCATGATACTGGACAACCCACTGTATATTAGAGATTAAATTCTCAGTATTCTTAAAAGAGGGTACAATTTCTTTTGCTGTTCTCCCCTTTTAATATTTGAGAGTGTTATCAAAACAGTTTTTTTCAAAACTTTTATTATTATACCTATTATTAGAAAAGAAATTTTTTCAAAAATAAGTTTTTTCAAGCTATTTTAAATAGATACTATGTATCTTCCATTCAGGGATTGATTAAGGCAGGGATCTGTAAGCTTTTACAGATTCTGTATCATGCTATTAGCTAGGAAGCCTTAAGGTCACACTTAAACTAGAAGCCCAGTTCTGTTTGTTCCAGATTTTTGTAAATTCTGTAATCTTGCCTATTTAATATCTTGCCTCTCTAGTACCTTAAATTTATCATCTGAAAAATTAAATTACAGTAATATGCCTTCCCCTTTAAATGAAGTTATATCATGTAGTTTAGATAATCTCTATGTTAATAGTTTGTAACACTATTAAATAATTTGAAAAGCAGAGAACACTGATTGTAGTATCCAAGAAAATGAAAACATCAGAAGAATTGTGCCTCTCTTACAATTGCCCTCAATTTTTTATTGCCATCTATAAAATGTTTCACAACATCAGTGCTATGTTCTCCAAAATATTCTAAAAGAATATTATGGAACATTAGTTTTTCTGTGAATTTCGTATATTCTCACCTGGAAGTGATCCCATAGACTTTATTGAATGTCTTTTTATCATGAAGTTTTGCATATACTAAACTGATAGGGTTACTAATTAGCTTCTTAGAAATAATTATATAAGCTCTAGTGATACTGAGGAGACATTTAAAATATTACATCCATGCATATAGGTTGATATGTACATATAAAGGCTTGAAAGTAAAATTATTTTAGGAAGCAGTATGACAAAGGAGAAGAAGGAATTTAAGCACCAGCAATATGGCTAAGGGATGAACAACACATTTTTTAAATTAATGATTTGCCTCATACACATTTGATAAAATATTATATCATTGGCTTCTTCAATGATCAGATGAAAAAGAGGGATGGTAAATGCTATCAAAGTCATTTTCCGACTGAGTAATCAAAAATAAAGTTGTTCTGATTCTGCCTGAATTTAACTTACTAGAACATTATTTAAAATCTCTCTTTACAATTTACAGAAAAGCAACCTTATTCTCAAGAGATCTAGAAATAAATTTTAATGTCCCTTTAACACTAATAAGTTATTTTATGTTTGGAAGTCTAAATTCAAATAAATGGGATGTGATATCCATTATTTGTTTTATTTATCTTCTGAATATATCAGGACTACCTCTTTAGCACATCACATCATATTTTATTATTATTCTCCCTTACTATTGCGGTTGAAAGATAAATCTTCAACATAATATTTTGCTTTGCAATAAGATTTTTGAACTTTTACTCTTTCCCTTTCAAAATAAGATTTTTGTCCATATCTGTTTATAGTATTAAACTTTCTGTATTTATCTACTGTCTTGCATGTGACTGTCCTCTTATTTCATAACTTTCTCAATATCAACTATTATATAGTCTTTTTCATATATATTCCCATGAAATATGTTCATTTATGTGTATATATATATATATTTTTCCATATGAATTCATGTTTATGGATCAATTATGGAGGCAGTGATGTCTCACCCAATAATTATATCAGGTGGGAAATGTTCGAACTGCTTTTGTTTATACATAGGAGATATACATAGGTAAATATACATATCCAATAGGAAAACTAACAATATTTTCCATGTGGAACCTCGATGAAGTGTTAAAATTGACAAAATGTAAAATAAAATTTAACAGAGTTACACAAAATAGTGAATAGTTTAGGATGCAGGGTCTTAGTTAAAGCATTATGCACGACTGCCTGGATATTTCATTGAAAGGTTGAAAAAGTGATAGAAAGTGGACCATCGTACTTTGATGATTATGACTAATTCCTATGTGTTAAGAGATCTTCATTTTAATAGCTCATCATGTGAAATGTTAGGTTTTGATCGAAGAAAAGACCCTTGCTTCTGAGATTATGTGCTTAAGATTTTTCAGTCTGCATTTTCTTACCCAGACACCCCTAGAATACAACTATTATACATATGGCATTATTTGTTTCATGATGGATAACTTCTAACATTTACTCTCTGTCCATAATCCAGAGAGGAAAGGGAATGAATGAATGGGTCAAATGAGGCTTCTCTGGTGATTTTTCCTTCCTGAGAACGTGGCATCCCAATTCACTTCATCACTAACTGTGGAGCATGGATCATGTTTTTTAATACAATGGTGCATACAGATATTAACAAAATGCAGTCTCTGTCTCTAAAGAATTTAGACTATCCTGGGATATGAAGATATTTACACAAATACAGTCTGTAGTTCGTACTCGGACAGAAGTGTACGTTGCAGGAGACAACAAAAAATACCAGAAACAAAAAACCAGAGGAAGTGTTTTCATCTGAGGAAATGAGAGGTGAGGGAGGGAATCAGAAACAGGTTCTGGGAGAAGGCAGCATTTGAACTGAGCATTTAAGGTGGGACAGGATATTGGCATCAGAGATGTACAGGAAATGCATTCTGGAAGGAGAGGCAGTCTGTGCAAAAACATTTAAATAAAGTCAGAATATTTTCTGATTGGAAAGTTAGAAAAGGTTGGAAAGGTAGGATAGGTCAAATGCTGAGCTGAGATGTCACCTGAATGCTTATTCCAAAGAAGAGATGCTAGGCCACCTGACTGAGGTTCTCTAGCTGGGAGAATTCAGTGAAAGGCTTGCCAAGCTGACTGTGAATTCAGGAAAATAACACTAGGACAGCTTGCTGCTGCCTGGTGATCCATTCTTTATAAGATGCTGCCTAATAGCACCTTGTTCTTGGTTCAGGTCCAACTATCTAGAGTCAATGCCAACTTTGCTGAATCTTGCAATTCTCAGCTTCAAACCATCAGCAGAGTATGTGTATGTTTCCAGTTTCCCAGAAATAATTCTTCCTTTGAAATCTGTAATCGTGTTTGCCTTGGGAGGCAAAGAGAGAGAAGAAAAAGACAAAGATCAACAGCATAGATGACTTTCATCCCTGGAAAAGTGGCTTTTTAATGTTCCCAGATTTTTCAAGCATCTTCTAATATCTGCTGTATGATTTTTTTTTTAGGTAGAATAATTCTATTCCTAAGAATTTTTTCCTGTGTCCACTGTCCCAGGAACTCCCAGGATATATGCATTTAGTCTTCGTGCTTCCTAATGTTTTATGCATATTGGTAGAGGAGTTTAAACTTATTGTTTAGGCACTGAAACTGGGAATAAAGACCATAGATTAGTAGTTCCCAGTTGGGAGCAGTTTTGTTCCCCAGAGTATTTGAGAATGTCTAGAGACAATTTTGGTTGTCAAGAGGTGGGGGAGTTAAGTTGCTAACTGGCATCGAGAAGCTACTAAACTTCATAAAGAGTACAGCCCCAGCCACGACAAAGATTTATCCTGTCAGAAATGCCAGTAATGCCCAGGTT